AATATACTTCTGACAAAAAATGTACTTCTGGAAGCCACTACTAATCTGAACTTTCTATAATGTTAAGATTTTATTTTATAGAATCTGGTTACATAGGACTTTAATCTCAGTTTTTTATCCGTGATCTAGAGATGCTCAAGAATTGAAAAAAGACAAATATTAGGTACTTAGCAAGACTCTCCCCCAGATTCTCAATTCAGTTTAGAGGACCCTCTCAGTGGAGCCATCTCACCTCCTCAAAACTCAGTGGGCAGCATTGTAGCAGCCCTTCTGGTAGCCCAGACTTCCAAACAAAAGTCTGGGCAGTAAAGCACACTGTTTAATGAAGTAAGCCAGGCATAGAAGCTAAATTTCACATGATCACACTTCTACATGGAATCCCCAAACATTCAATGTATAGAAACAGAGAATAGAATTCATGGTGATTACCAAGTGCCAAGGAATAAGGTAGTAAGTGAGGAAGATACAGATCAAAGGAATAAACACAGAAAAACCGTGAGTGATTGGTTCTCAGGTGTCTGGTCACCTGTTTTATTTTATTCTTTTAATTCAAAAGTAATGGTAGCAAAGGAATGGCATGCTGGACTATGTCTCCTGTTTAGGCCATATCCAAGGTGTTTTACTCTCTGCATCATTTGAACTAAAGAAATAGAATATCAGGGCCAGTGCTGTGTCATGTCAGGCTAAGCCCCTACCTGTGGTACCAGCATCCCACTTGGGCACAGGTTGGAGTCCTAGCAGCTCCTCTTCTAGTCTAGCTCCCTGCTAATGGCCTGGGAAGGCTCCTGGCTTTGAACTGGCCCAACTCTGGCGATTACAGCCATTCAGGGAGTGAATGAGTGGAAAGAAGATTCTTTCTTCTGTGGAGCAAGGGGCTTCCAAGACCTGTTACACCCTTGAAGAAGTCCTCCTCATCAGCAAGTAAGACACTTGTTCCCCAGGCCTCTTCAGCCTCGTGGGCCAGCTGGCTGCTTTCATGGTAGCTCTGATCTGCCTTCAATGCTATGGGGAGTCCTGAAGCAGAGGTGACCTGGTGGGAGTGGGTGTTTGTCATCAGTATCATTTTTTTTTAATGGCATCTTCAGCTTTGAAGGTGAACTAATCCCCTCAGATATCCTTGCCCTGGTCCAGCCTGCAAGACCTCTGGGACTTGCAACACCTGTATCCACTGCAATTGTATCCTTGATGATACTGTTATGATCTGAAGGGGGCAGGGAGCGGGACAGGTAGCTACCCTGACCTCATAGCACCCCATTCTGTATATTTGCATTTATTTTGTACCCAAGACAATTGTGAGAAAGTATTGTTGAGATCTGGGCTTCCTTACTTGCAGAGAAGTAACTAGCCTTTATCAACTTGTGCCAATAAGGAGCAGACCCTGGCAGCTGCCTCCGTTGCATGATCTGCTTCCAAAACCAAGGTAGTTGTTTTGTTTTGTTTTGTTTTTTGTTTTCACGGGTTGTGTGTATGTTTTGAGATTTATTTATTTATATTGAAAAGACAGATTTACAGAGAGATGGAAAGTCAGAGAAACAAAGAGCTTCCATCCACTGATTCACTCCCCAAATGGCCACAGTATCCAGAGCTGAGCCAATCCAGAGCCGGGAGCCAGTAGCCAGTAGCCAGGAACTAGGAGCTTCTTCTCCATCTCCCACTCAGGTTGAGGATGGCTTTGGGCCATTCTCTACTGCTTTTCCAGGCCACAAGCAGGGAGCTAGATAGGAAGTGGAGCAGCAAGACACAAACTGGTGCCCATATAGGATGCTGGCCCATGTAGGTATAGGATTAGTCAATTGAACTATCATGCCAGACCCTTTGGTTTGAGTTTAAAAGTCAGTTGTCCTTATTTGCCCAGCAAGCCTTTCCAGTGATTTCTACTCCTGATACCAGAGCCAGACCGCTGGGATTTTGACTGCAAGAACTGGGGACAAAGGATAGAAATCAGGGAGGGAACTTGCCATAATTTATGGAAAGGTACATAGGACTGGCATTGTGGCAAAATGGATTAAGCTTCTGCTGGCAATGCAGGCATCCCATATGGGCACTGGTTAATCTTCTGTCTCCTCCAGTTCTCATCCAACTTCCTGCTAATGCAGCCTTAAGATAGCCAAGTGTTTGTGTTCCTGCCCCTGTGTGGGAGACTTGTGTGGAGTTGCAGGCCCCTGGCTTCAGCCTGGCCCAGTTTCAACTTGGTTCATCCCCAGCCATTGCAGACATCTGGGAAGTGAACCAGTGAATACAAGTTCTCTCCTCCCTCTGTCTCTCCTTTTCATTCCCTGGTACTCTGTCTTTCAAATCAGTAAGTCCTTTTTAAAAATTCTAATCTTCAAAGAAATGCATGTATGTGTTTAATGTTCTAACATAAGATGGCAAAAAGATAAATGGAGAGCAAGCTCTAGGAGAGGGCTTCCCATTTCACATGGCATGACTACCCCTCAGGCCCACAGTCAGTGCAGGTCTTCTGTCTCTGAAGTGTCTCTGCTAAGACGATTCTGGATTCAGAATGATCACAGATGATGCTGGGTGGCAGCTCCTTGGTGACGCCCCCCACTGACAGCTTAAGCAGCTGCCTCAGATGAAGAGCTGCCTCGTGTTTCTCTGTAGCTGGAAGACATTCTGCAGAATTCTTGCTCTCACATAGGCATTCACCTGCTTGTATTTACCCAACATCATTTTAGCCAGAAACCAGGCCTTTGAGAGAGACACTGCCCACCACCCTCCAGGGATTTGGTCCTCCGACTCTGATCCTGATTCTGATTCATGTCCTGTTCTCATCTTAATCACTCTTGCACCAGCTTCCTGGGTGAGCTGGGAAGAGAAGTGAAAAAACAAAAACAAAACAAATTCATGTAAAAATTAAAAATGAGGCTTTGGAGAGAAAAGGAGCTTTGTGGTTCTGGGCCTGGTGCTGTGGCATAGTGGCTAAAGTCCTCCCCATGAATGCCCCAGTATCCCATATGGGTGCCAGTTCTAATCCTGGCAGCCTCACTTCCCATCCAGCTCTTGTGGCCTGGGAAAGCAGTTGAGGACATCCCAAAGCCTTGGGACCCTGCACCCACGTGAGAGACCTGGAGGAAGTTCCTGGCTCCTGGCTTTGGATTGGCGTAGCTCCGGCCATTGCTGTCACTTGGGGAGTGAATCATTGGACGGAAGATCTTCCTCTCTGTCTCTCCTCCTCTCTGTATATCTGACTTTCCAATAAAAATAAATAAATCTTAAAAAAAAAAGCTTTGTGATTTTAAAAGCTGTTATTCAGAAACAGGCCTGATCTGCTTCTTAGAGAGACCACAGGAAAGAACTGCAGTGGCTCAGATCATCCACAGGCTGGGATATTTATATTATCATTTCCTCTAAGTGTGGAATGCATTCATCTATCAAATACAACTCCCCCCCCCCAAAAAAAACACTCACTGGTTAAACTTGGGAGTCTGTCTGGACTTTGCTGTTAAGTTTATATGAAAGTGCTACAAAAAAGTTCATGGAAAAAGGAATTAAAGGAGAATTTTATTTTAGTGAAAAAATTAAAAAATCATGTCTACATTTTCATAATTTCATCAAATGTAATATGCATTTTCCTGAACTTTTTTGACCCCCAAATGTTCATGCATTTCAAGCATTTGTGCACTAAAAGGTGTCTTTTAGCTTTGTTTTCCATAAACTTTGTGAAGAATCTTTATAAGGAAGACCTGTTACATTTATCTGTGTCAACATAGATAAATTCATCTAAAATCACTTTACATTTGTGAAATAAATGACTCTAATTCTTTCACCTCAGCTATTTTATCTGGACTCAAACCAACTTGAAGCTGGTTAGGGCAGACATACAAACTGTGTTACAGGGTATCTTTCATTAACCCTCTGATAATCATTTTATCACTTGGTTCTGGGGATAAATTATTGAGAATTTAACATTAGATCCAAACTTCTTAACTTGCAAAACAAAGATCTTTCTATTTGATTATATAGGGGGAAAAATCCATTAACTCAAGAGTTAGCACAGAGTTTTAATGACTTCCAAACTCTACTGTTAATGACAGTAATTCTCACAATATATTCAACAGTTATTGACTATAGTCTGGTATGGAAGGGTAAGAAATAAGAAAAAGGAGAATGGCATTTCATGCAATATTACATAAAAACAGAATAAGGTCTTAAAGAACTAAGAAAGGTCTAGGAGAGACGTATATGTTTGCTGCTGTACTGTATTTCAGGAAAAGCACAAGGTTTTTGCTACACCAAGAATTTAAGAATCAAACAAGTAGAGATGACATCTGACCTTAAATTTCCCAATATACATAGAGCTCAGCATTTTCTAATGAACATAATTAAATCCATTAAAATAAGATAATGACTCTCTAAATGCAAATTTAGACTATAGAACTTAGAATTTTACTTTCACCTCATGCATTTCTTTTATTCAGTCTGGCTAATCTGGACCAATTAAAAAAATTTCACTAAAAATATGATCAACACCCTACTTGGGATCGGCTCTATCCCAGAATACTCCTTGGAATCTCTTAAAGGTCCAGTCAGATTGAAGTTGATTTGCTAAAGCCAGTTTGAAAGTACACATAATATCTGTTTCTTCCTGATTTTCTTGTCACTTTTCAGTTAATTTTTTAATCCTCCAAAAACAAATTTTAAAACAGTGCAATTTGTCTTTTTAAGCCTAATTGTCTTTTCCTTCTTTGTGAAATAGTCTATAACTATAGTGAATTTTGCCAGAGACAGAACTCTGCACACAATTCCTCTACTGCTCCTGATTTGCCGCTGATACTGTGGCTGATATGAATACTGCAATTAGGCAAATGGATGAAAAGTGGCTTTTGTTTTGAGACCACTTTAGTTTGTGACAAATGAGGGCTGACACCCATAAAGGACAAGCTCATAACAGCTGCCCAAGGCCATTTCTCAACCTCACGCAAGGAGCTTAAAACAACCATGGGGGCCTTTATTCATCACAAGTAAATGAGTTTCATTCAAAATTCCACTCAGGGATAAGGTCTGCATACTGAGAAAGTCATATAGCAATCATCTTTCTCTAACATAAAAATAAAATACAAGTGTGGAAAAGTTCACAGCATTTCATTCGCCCCTCCATCTCCTTGATCACCTGGAGACCTAGCTGGACCGAGAGGAGGCTCCTTGGACCCTCAGTGAGCTCCTTATCAAGAGTCCGTGCAGTAACTTCTAGGTCCTTCTTTGATTAGCTGTGTCTTCTCATTTGCATTTGTGGGCTGGAGAACAATTGGGAAATCCATTTCTAAAAGTAAAAAAAAATAGAACAATGAACATAGAGTCTTATGACAGTTGTTTTAATGTGGCAAATGTTGAAATGAGATTTCCAAAAAGAAATTCCAGAAACTATTACATATATCTGTTGAATCTTAGGGTATACCAAAACCAAGATTAGAAACCAAGGGGCTGAAAAAAATAAATCAGGGGGCTGAGATTTTTAAGATTAAAAAAATCTGAAATAAGATCTCTACATTATATCAGATCAACTCCAGATGGATAGGCAGATGTGTGTGCAAAACAAAACTGTAAAACCAAGAAGGCCATAGAGGGGAATACCATTGTGTCCTTGAAACAGAGAATGGTTGTTCAAAACACAGAAATCACTAAGTGCAAAGATTAAAAGTTTGCAAACATTAAGAACTTGGACACATCAGAAGATTCCACAAAAAATGAAACATCAAATCATAAACAATGAAGAATTGAGGTCCAGAATATGCTCAGAAACAATGAGGAAAAGGCGGATGATATCATTGAAACTTCAAAATATTTGAATTGGCATCTCATAGGAGAAATCCAAATGACTAACACACACATAAAAAGACATCCAACCTCACTACTAACCAAGGAGATGAAAACTAGAGCCACTGTCTGTTACTTTCCACCTGCTACTACATGGACCAACATTTTCAGTCTGGTGATAGCCAGGGTTGGCAAGGATGTGGAGTAACAGGAATGCTCATGAAGTATGGAGGGAATGTAGCTACAGTAATTTTGCAGACCGAGTTGACAATATTTAACAAGTTGTAGATGTATATGATGTACATACCCTTTGCCTAAGAAATTTCACTTGTGTGTATATGTTTACAGACATTCTTGCTCTCATGCACAAGAACATCTGTAGCAGCTCAGTTTGCAAGGGCAAAAAGGAGAAAATGTCAGCCGTAGATTGGGTAAATAAATTGCATGATATTCTTTTTTTAATGTTACAGATTTTGTTTTAAGATTTACTTTTTATTTTTTATTGGAAAGGCAGATTTACAGAGAGATGTAGAGACAAAGAGCTTTTGTATGCTGGTTCACTCCCCAGGTGGCTGCAGTGGCTGAGCTGAGCTGATCTGAAGCCAGGAGCCAGGAGCCAGGAGCTTTTTCCAGGTCTCCCTCGTAGGTACAGGGTTCCAAAGTTTGGGCCATCTCTACTGCTTTCCCAGGAAGGGAAGGGATGCAGCCAAGATACAAAGTGGCACTCATCTGGGATCCTGGTGCGTGCAAAGTAAGCCCTACATGATATCTTTGTAGAATATTTATACAATGGTATAAATAAATGGCAGCCACAATGCAAATAATCTCAGATATACAATGTTGAGTGAAAAAAAGCAAGTTGTACAAAGCCAGTAATATTAAAGTGAGAATAACATATATACAAACAGTATATATAATTACAATAGTATAAATAAAAAATCATAAATGATTTACCATGATTGTTTCTGAGGAAGAAAAAGCCAACAATTCTAATGATAATAGTGAAAGGTAAAAATCAGGTCATAGTATTTGTATCTATTTAATAGTTAATAGAACCAGTATCAAGAGTGGGCATTCAACCCAGCAGTTCAGATGCCAAACCTCACATCTGAGAGCCCTGGCTCCTGAGTGTGGCTTCTCACTAACACAGACCCTGCGAGGCAGCTCATTTCTAATAGTTGACTTCCTGCCGCCCACATAGGAGACCCTAATTGCATACCCACATCCAGATTTTGGCTTTTGCGCAGCCCATGCTAGTGTGGGTATTTGGTTAGGTTGCATCAATTTTACTACTTCACATCTCTGAATTAGTGGACTATAAATTCAAAACTATGTTCACAACAAGTGTCTCTTTCTCCCCCCAACTCCAGCTATCTAACGAAATGAATAAATGGAGCAAATAAAGGAACTAATTCTCACTCACATTGATGTCAGGCCTTCTAGTGTCAGCTTTGTCACGTTTGTTGTATTTGTAAAGAAAGCCTTTGTGTGGTTATTATTTACTATTTGTGTGCCTGTCTCTGCTACTAGATTATAACACCTCAGAATACCAGGAACCATACTTTTTTTCTCTAGCCACCAGCATAATGTCAGGCAGATATTAAAGTGTTCAGTAAATATTTGTTGTTGAAATACTGTCTCAGTAGACCAGCCTAGTAAATTTCCTCAGTGAACACTGGCAGCCAAAAGTCAAGGGAACCTTGGATCCCCTTTGAGTAGCTTTGTTGGGGAGCATTCTAAGCCGACTCACCTGTCCTACCATCCTGGCCTGGGGCTTTGAAGGTGTTTACTTGATATTTTCATACATAGCAGAAGCGAAGGGCTCTGTACTAGTTGCAAGAATTTTAATTTTCAAGTATTATTTTTAGAAATGGACTCATTTTAATGGGGGGGATGTTAAAAGAGAAAGGATGAATTTAGTCTCTTGCTTGTTTCCTTTGGGAAGTGAAGAGGCGCTAAGTGCTGCACAGTAAACATGTAATAAATATCTCTGTGCCTTGGCCGAGAGCTAGAGCCATATGGCTTTCTTTATCTCAGTGGTTGTGGACTTATTTGGGTTTTGTCCAGATAAGTGGCAGGAAAAGTTAAGCAGTCACTAGATTTTTCTGGGCACTTGACTCTCAAACTTTTAGATTCAAGGTCAACACCATAAAGTCTCCTCCTCCAAATACATTACTCCTCTTCCTTCAAAAGCAAGGAGAGTTTCAGGGGGAGACTTGACTCAACTAGACATTTTTATGATTTATAGGTGGGAGTTGTGATTGCATTTCATCCCACTGCCTTCAGCGTGGCAGAAAGAAAACAAATTTAGCACTGGGATCTGGCTTGCTTTTCCAGAGTTGAAAATGCATATAAGCCCCTAGGCTGTAGCCATTCTTTTTTACCCACTTCTGTCTCATCTCAGTTAGCTTCTTCCCTAGAAGCAAAGTGTTCACGTTGGGCAGGCAACTTTCCCCCTATTCTTTGACAGTGACTAGTGACTTCCTTTTTAAGTGTCTTTATGTAGTGTAATTGTAAAATAAACCTTAAGGTAAATAATAGTTTAATCAAAGAAAATATTTACTGACCAAAGCCATCAGCTTGAAACTCTGATTTAGTAAATATTCTGAGTACTGACAGATAATTTGCAGAACTCAGAGCAAGTGAGGATACTTAAGTGCTATACTTAAAAAAAAAAAATTAAGGATTTCAAAACAAGGACAGTAAAGCAGTAAACGAGGTACTAGAAAAACTAGCCAGTGCAATAAGGTAGGAAAATGAAACAAAGGCATACAGATTGGAATAGAAGAGACTCCTCAGTGTGCTTCCAACCCTAAAGTTTACAATTGTTTTGGTCAGATTCAATATCAGAATCAAAAATTCCTTTAAGCAGAAAATGTTTACCATTTTAAATTTATTTTCATTAAAATAAAAGTCTAAAAACCCTAATGTAACACCAGTGCCTTTGGAAGAACTCAAATGTTGAGGTATCGTACTTATTTTTCACAACAGCAACTTGATATCTGAGTAGCTAGAGGTGTCTTTCAAGTATATTTTCTTTTTCTTTTTTTAAAAAAATTATTTTTATTGAAAATGGAAGATTTGCAGAGAGAAGTAGAGACAGAGAGAAAGACCTTCCATCCACTGGTTCACTTGTTCAGTGTCTGCCACAGCCAGAGCTGAGTTAATCAGAACTCAGGTGCTTCTTCTGGGTCTCCCATGCAGGTGCAGGGTCCCAAGGCTTTGTTTTTCAGGTCATCCTTGACTGCTTTCCCAGGCCACATCCAGAGAGTTGGATAGGAAGTGGAGCAGCCAGGACACCAACCAGTGCCCTTTTAGGATCCCAATATGAGCAAGGTGAGGATTTAGCCACAAGGCTATAGTGCTGCCCCCTGCCCCAAGTGTGTTTTCTTAAATAACTATGTCTGTTGGGCATTTTGAGGGTTCAGCTAAAATATAATGGAGCAGTGGGAGTTTGGTATCATGGTGAATATGCTCAATCCCACATCAGAATGCCTGAGTTTAATTCCCAACTTTAGTTTATGGTTATAGCTTCCCGGAAATGCAGATTTTCAGAGAGAGTGAGGATGACCCAAGCTATTGGGTTACTATAATCCACCTGGGATATATAGACTTCATTCCTGATTCCCAATCCTGTCTGTTGGGAAAGTAGATAGAATCTTGATTTATCTGTCTCTGTCTCTCTTTTTCTCAAATTAAAAAAAAAAAAGAATTGGGGACCAGTTTCCTTTGAGTTTAGTATAATGGAATATGTTTTTGTAATTTGCAGCAAATATGTGAGTAATTGTTACTAGTCTTATGGATATAGGAATGACCTTAGGAACATTCCTCAAGGTTATTAAGCCAATTCATTTGTTGAAGGGACATGAAGATCTGGGCCAGCAGCGGTGTGACACAATGTGTCCAATAGACTGTCTCAGAAGAAGTCACAAGGAACAGCAGTAAGGTTTGAAAAAACAGGCAAAAGTGGTTTGAGGAAAATTCTTTCAAATATTGAGATCTTCATAAATGTTCACAGAAAATACATGTTAGGCAGCAACCATATATGATTTTGTTTTTCCACACCAAAGTAAGCTTATTTTTTAATTCAGTTATTTAACAAATATTTGAAGTAACCCTGACATATTAAATCAACAATAAGAATTTTCCCAAACTTGACAACAATCCCTAAAAGGTTAGACATTATTAATAATGAGTTGTAAAACTGAAAAACTTTTCTAACTTTACATAATAAAAAAATTGTAATCAGACTTCTTTTTTTGCCTTCTCAAACCACAAGCAGGGAGCAGCATGGGAAGCATGGCTGCTAGGATTAGAACTGGTGCTCGTATGGGATCCTGGCCCATGCAAAGCATGGGCTTTAGCCGCTAAGGTACCACACTGGACCCTGGGTTAGGGATTCTTAATACAGTCAAATACAGGGTTTATTTGGCCTAGAATCAGATGTCTGTGGCGGAGCTGGTAATTCTGGGGTGTCAGCACTAAGAAATAGAGACTTTCTGAATCATCACCATTCACTTAGCAAGGAAGATTCCCTGGTGGAGACCGGCACGTGGGATGGATTCCTGGTCCAGAAACTACATTTTCCATAAAGGAGGTCTAGGGAAAAGATCTAGTGGATCTTTTTATCTCATTCAAAAGAGAAAATAGTGTGAAGCTTTTCAGACAAGTGTGAAAAAAATGGATTTGAGATATTTATGTTTAATTACCCTCATTTGGATTTTCCATTATAAAAGGGAAAGTTAAATTTGACCACTGAAAGATGCTGAGACTCCTCTCTTGTTATTCTTTTCTGTCCTTTGTTGCTGAGAGCTGCTTCGGACTGATGGGTATTAGGGAGATCCTAGGGTCAGTGTGGCCAGAAGCTCTTGTCAGGGTTCTAAAGCAGCTTCTCCCAAGAACAGATGGAATCAGTGCACTGGCATCATTATTTGTTATCAAGCTGTGCCAAAGTCACCAGTTTTTCACTAAAGAAAAGGAATTTCTATGTAAATACCACTGCTTACTCATTTATCAGCAATCCTGCATGCTTTATCTTTTTTGCTATGTATGCCTCTATTAAAAGCATGATTTGTCCTTTTACATCCCAAATTTGTAAAAGTATAGTTTTAATTACATTTCACTCTGGGCCTACAGTTTGACTCTAAGGACAAGACTGGAAGGTCAGAGCACCCTCTTCTGGATACAGGCCTGGCCAGCAATACACTAAGAGAGATCCCACCCTGCAGGAATAACCCTGCTGACTTCCCTGAGCCCTCAATTCTCAGATGCCAGGGGTCAGGACGACTCGCATTATTGAGGACTCTTTCCTCCAGGTTGGAGTCAGCGTAGATAACACCAGATATTACTCAGCATCACACTCAACAGAGAATAAGAGGTACACAGAAGCCTTTAAAGAGCCTCTGATGCTCCAGGCCCTGGAATTTCTGTCTCAGTGTGACCAGCAGAATCACAGTGTAGTACAGTTCAGAGGAGTGTGCCATTCTTAATCTCAGCAGTTCTGCCAACAATGCCCCACTGTCTGAATTACAGTTATTCTCTTGGTTAGCTATCTAGGGTTTTATTTGGGGGGGGCGCGTGGTAACTGATAAAATCTGTAATCTAGAATAATTATGTTTTCCAGTTGAAAAGGACAATAGGATTAAGATGCAAGACTAAGCAAGACAATGACAGATTTGACCCCTTCGTGTTTAACAAAGGCATTTCTCAAAGAATGTAAATATCTCATAGAAAGATTCTCTCACATCTTATTATTTTTTACACTTCTCTCCGCGCCCCGCCCCCAATTCTAGGTAGAATGATAGAATCAACTTGGGAAATGAAGTCATATACCATGGTTATGTGTACCTCCCAGTATAGACAGACATGTTTCTGGTTTAAAGTTCATGCTGAATGTGTATATTTACAAAGAAGCTACAAATCAGGAGGAGTGTGGTTGCCACCAGTTCTACCCCAAACCCAATGCCAAACCATCAACAGGAAGAAAATTAGAGATGGATGACTTTTTTTGATGTTTGCTCTTTTCTGTTTTAATAGACAGTCTAACTGAATACACTGAAATGGCTTCTCGTAGGGGATATACCTGCCTTGGAAGCTCCTGGCCTGGGCCTCCCCGGCTCAAATCTCCCTGCACCTGGAGCTCGCTCTGTCATGAGCTTCATCATCCCCACCTCTCGTGATTTCTAAGGGAGTCAGGTGCAGCTTTTCTCTGTATCTACTAGTGCTAAATGTCGTTTCATCTTCCCACAAAGATCACTCAAGCTAAGGATCTGAAGGATTCCTCACGTTTTACGATTGGCACCCTCTGACTTTAGACCTGGGGTGTAGTTGGACCTCAGAACGATACCCACCACAACTGAGCTTCCGTCTTGTGTTACCTTTCTCTGCATCGATCTGGATCTGCATCTCCAGGTCCTCCGTGGACATGTAGAAGGTTTCTTCTGAAGGCGTCGATGATTTTGGCTGGCAGTGCCCACAGCAGCATTTGCAGCAGCAGCACAGGCAGCAGCAAAAATAGCAGCCTGTCAGGAGGCCAAAGATGATGAACAGAGCCTGGAGGAAACAGAGGCCAAGCAAAACAGGGATGAGGAATGGGAGATTTGGGGGAAGAACCCCAGAACCCAAGCCTGTACCCATGTGGCCCCAGGGACCTGAAGTTGTTTCAGTTCACCTCACAGATTACCCTCATCCACCTCCATCCTTACTCCTTGTAAAAACTCTATTTGTAAAGAGTACTTGGAGGAGTGATGAGAAGCTTCATTTAACAATTAGACACAGAAGAATGGTATCTCTTCTTTCTTCTTAGGCCATGAAGATTGTTACATGTTATATATATCATGTTATTATATTATCACACATATATTATTTTACATGATTAAGATCACAGCAAACCAAAACAAAACCCAAACTGGCAAATAAAACCTCCACAAGTCAAACAAGCTAACCAAGCTCTGCTGCCTCAGAGAACTGAACCCTTCTCATCAAAGGGCAAGGTAACAATGCCCTGTCCACATTCACCTTTCTGTTAGGCATCCAATCCTGTACTCTCTCACTCCAGAGCTCTTGCCTGCTTCTCCTCATCTCCAGCCCAGCCCTTCAGGCCTTGAAGCAGGTCCTTATTATCTCTGATTGGCTTGTGGCTGCAGCCTTCCCTCCAGCATTGCTGCTTCCACACTTGCCTTTAGCTCTGCCCAATGCAGCTGCGGGGAGCTTTCCTAAACACTTGTTCTCTTGAAGCTGTGTTGCAACACCTGTGTCTCAGATAGAGCTGAGGTACCTAGTCATGATGATGTTCTGGCTGCTTACTACTGACCCTCCCCTGCATGTACTCAGCTCTGCTCTCGTCTTACTACTTGGCTCTCACTGTAAATTCAGTCATTCAGACATTGCCAACACATTCATTCCCCAGCCACCTCATCAATACCCATCTGGTGTTTAAGACTCATCTTCTATGATGTCTTTCCACCCCAAAACAATTGCTTTTTGTTCTCCAATTGTTCTATATTTAATTTTTTTTTACCTTGATACATCTAAAATGTGTTTTTACCTTTATTTTTTATTTGAAAGGAAGAGAAAGAGAGTGTATTTTCCTATCTGCTCATTCACCTCCCAAACGCCTGTAACAGTTGGAGTTGGGTCAGGTTGAGCCGAGGAGCCTGATGTCTTACGTGGTTGGCAAGGACCAATCACTTGAAACATCATGTGCAGACTCCCAGGTAGGTCATGCATCAGCAGGAAGCTGGAATAGGAAGTGGAACTGGGACTTGAAACTAGATACTCTACATTCCAAGTGATGTGTTACTAGTGTGCAAAATGTCCACCCCCTTGATTTTCTTCCTGTTGACACTGTAGAACAAGGGCAAGCTTGGAATCTAGGAATGCATGTTAGTGATTTTTCAGTTTGTCTTGCCAAAAGACTTGGTATCTTGTAGACACTTTAAAAACAATAAATATGTGCCATATTAATAAATATACAAATTCATAAACATGCTTTTCTCCTAATGAACAACACCAGGATTTCCCCACAAACAGATAAAAGGTTTGCTTACTAAAAATAAATTAATTGGGCCTGGTGCAGTAGCCTAATGGCTAAAATCCATACCTTGCATGCTCTGGGATCCCAAATTGGTGTTAGCTATAATCCTGGCAGCCCCACTTCCCATCCAGCTCCCTGCTTGTGGTCTGGGAAGGCAGTTAAGGATGGCCCAAAGCCTTGGGACCCTGAGCCCTCATGGTAGACCCAAGGGGGCTCCTGGCCTCAGATTGGCTCAGCTCAGCTCAGCCTTGGTCATTGCAGCTGCCTGGGGAGTGGGTCAGTGGATGGAGGATCTTCCTCTCTGTCGCCTATTTTTGTGAATGGAGCAAAACTAAACCAGAAACGAAGTGGTCTATACACCTGTAACTGAAATGCAGATTTCATGTGATTAATAATCAGGGAGGAATGTAAGGCCGAGTTCGTGGTGTGCACGTGCACTGCCTCAGCAGCTTGAGGCAGAACACTTGGGCGTCAGTGAATCTCAGCCTCACCTGCTGCCCAGCCCAGAACCCACCTACCTCTCTGGCCCAGCTGGAGGCGGAGCCCCAGGAGTTGGACAGTCTTGGTCATACTCTTGCACCTATAACCTCTGCTATGGAAAGATACTTTACATTTTCATATTCTTGGATACATTAAAACCCTAAACCACAAAGCCCTCGCCCTCATCCCCTACCTCCAGGACGCTCCTGGGCAGAATTCCTCGGCTATAACCCTAGGAAACCACTCCCTTCTTCATCGACCTTTTTCCTTTTTGCTGCACAATTTCCATATTGTCTTCTCTGAAAATTCCTATTCATTCTTTTGTTTTGGCTTTTAATCTAGCTACATTATTTGCTTGTGAGAAACACCATTGCTTTATTCCTTGCAGCATTTTAGCACTATCCTAGCCACTCCAGGTTCCTGAGGTTTTTAAAAAGATATACTGATGATGTCATATTGACTCATCCACATGGTGCATATTCAATATGTGGTTATTTGGTGGCAGGCCTCCAAGTGACTGGCTACAACAAGGGCTGGGCCAGACCAAAGTCATTAGTCTGGGACTCCATCTAAGTCTTCCACATGGATGTCAGGGGCCCAAATGCTTGAGCTATTTTCAGCTGCTTTCCCACATGCGTTAGCTGGGAGCTACATTCAAAGTGGATCAGTCAGGATGCTCACTGGTGCTTGTATGGGATGCCTGTGAATCGGGTAGCAGCTTAACCCACTACCCCACACCAGCCTCTGGGGACTGATTTTGAGGAGTTGCCAACAGGAATTATTTTGTGTATCTTTTACACTACCAGGTAGATTTTACTTGTCTACATAAGTTTTGGTCATGTTAATCAACTTCCTGAGCAAGAAAGCCTTATTATTTTTACTCAGGCCCCAATATGCAATCAAGCATACATGTGTGACTATCTACAACTGCAGATGTTCCTTCCCACAGGACGAGAGATTCCTAGAGACTAAATTCCATTGAAAGCTCTAAAATATATTTTTAGAACTAATTTTTATTGTTAGAATGCTAATGTATCATCAGGAATGACATTGTCAACATGTACACTCCTCTTTCCAAGTTCCAAAACCATCAAGTTTTCAATAAGAATATTACTGTGAATCTCAAATATTCTCCCCAAAAGAATTTTGGGAACATAGAAGACAAATGAGGTTTTAGGTTGCAGAATTTCTTTCCATGCTTTTGTATTAAAAAATCTCTCTATGCATAGATAAAGCTCAGCAAGATTTAGTGGAAGAAAACAGAATACTACTGATCATGATGGCTTCCTTTTGGGGAATCTGGCTTATTTATTTGAAAGACGGAGGTAAGAATTAGAGAGGAAGGGAAAATGAAAGAGACAGAGTTTTTCATCCACTGGTTTACTTCCTAGATGGCCACATTGGCTAGGTTGGACCAAGCTAAAGCTAGCAACCCAGAGCTACATCTCCCATGTGTATGGTAGGGGCCCAGGTACTTGGGCCATCTTCTACTGCTTTTCCAGGCCATTAACAGTGAGCTGAATTGGAAGCAAAGCAACTGGACATGGACAGATGGCCATAAGAGATACCAGCATCATAGGCGGTAGCTTACCGTGCCATAACACTGACTTTGGAGACTTTTTTATTATTATTATTATTACTATGAACTACAACTCATATAAATGAGAACTGTTCATAAAATATGTTAACTACATGTATGATCTATAAATGTGACTTAAATCAGAAGCTAAGAATATTAATATTTATATACAAACTAAAAAAACCCAGCACCAAACATCCATGTATTAGGCATTCCTGAGAAATCAAAATGTACTGTACAGAAGTCAATAAATTTCCCTGAGGCTTTCAAAATGCTGTCTTTTCCTTGATCAGGTGTCCAATTCTCTCCTCGCCCCCAACTCCTCTCCATGTTTCTGTCTCTGTGTAAGTCTCACCTTTCTCCCCTTGTTTCCTTCTCTCCTACCCCTGGGGGCTCCACGTGAACCTATGACATCATTGCCACTCACTCTTCCAAGTATTGTGTTTGCTGCCGTAGCCTGTGCTATAGATAGTAAAGGACATTGCTAAATTTGTCCTATAATATTTTATTAAACAGTTGTCACACTAATAAATTATTTTTGGTTTTGAGCAATGAGTCAGTTGTTAATTAGTCATTATGGAGGGGGGAGGGCAGTCAGAATTAACCTGAAGCTCCAAATTCAAATATAATTAATGTCTAGAAGTATTTTAAGTCATGTTGGATTTCATAATTAATGGATGAGCTAATGCAAAAAAGGATCCCCAAATAATAGCTTTCAGTGAAAAGTGAATCTCCTTGTATGACAAGAGTAAAGTTAAACTTTCTTTGAGATGGAATCTGAAAGAGTAACTATCATAGACTTCCAGGACATTTTCTTGAAAGAAGAAAAACATTCTGATTTACCTTTGCCCACCAGCTTGACAGCATAAAGTAGGTATTCACATTTTCTTCTCCAAATTGCTCAGCCACATAGAGTCCCAGGGACCCATACTTGTCATATATGTTCTTCTTCGACATGTCCGTCAGTATTGTGTGGGCGTTGTTGATTTCTTTAAACTTCTCAGCAGCAACAGGATCACCTGGATTCTTGTCTGGATGGTGTTTCAGGGCCAATTTTCTATTAAATAAAAAAAAGTATTGTTTGAAAAGAACTACTATACTGTTTCATGAAAGCACAGTTCATTCACATATCCTTTACTCTTGCAATGTTTCTCACTCATGATTCAGCTAAAAAATAGACTATAAGTGAGGTCTCATTATTTCTCCCCATACATCCTCAAAGGAATTTTGAAAGCTGCATAATTATTGAACCTGATATTTAAAGCCAATGTCCACTTAATGAGTCTTTTTAAAAAATACATATATGAAATCTTTGGCTAATAGCAAAGAATGTTGACTCAAATGTTTTCAACTTTTATGTTATTCACTGCATGCCAGCACTATTGTAAGCATGTAACAAATGTTAATTCATTAGTCCCCATGATAAAACTATGAGATGGATTTTATGATTATTCCACTGTACAGGGAAGTGAGTTTAGAAACTGAGAAGTTAATAACTTGCCCAATGTCACAAAGCTAATAACTGGAGCCAGGTTTTGCCCATAGGCCATCCGCCCCAACCGCATGTTCTTCATTGCCACTATACTTCCTTCTATATTTGTATTTCTAAGTTTAAAAATTAAGGCATACTAAGTGCTTACAGATTATTTTTAAGGACTATGGCTTTCCTGTGGGTGAATGGGAGACCCATTGTGGTATTCTGAGGAGAGTCATGTGACCTGATTTAGTTTTAGAAAGATCACCCAGTTTGGGGAGAGACTAAAACAAAAACGGGAAGATGTTTTTGTGGGGAGACCCTAGTAGTGACTCAAGTGACGAAGCATGGTGGTCTGGAGCAGAGTGGTAGAAGAGGGAATAGTGAGAAATTCCTCAGATGGACTTCAGTTCTGAGGGCTGCTGATTGGATGGATGGTATAGAGAAACGAAGAATCAGAATGGCGGCAACAGTCTGGCCTGTTGGGCTGGAAGTCTGGGATGACCATTTAAGGGGCTAGCAAGAAAACATTCAGTAGTTCTGTTTTGAACATTTTTAAAATGCCCATTGGAGAGGGAGTAGACATGTGAGTGTGTAGTTGAGGCAAGAATCACTGCAGGAGATGTGTATTTGGAAATTCTCAGCAGACGTTCATAGGAGTCTCAATAGCCTGAGAAGTCAAAGGATTAGACTTTGGGAAGGGCAACCAGAAAAGCAGGTTGAGATACAAGAAATAGTAACACAGAAGGAAAAATTCGGATGCTGTGAGGTCTCGGGATCCAGGTAATGAAAAGGAGGAGGATGATCAGCTGTGCAGGATGCTGCTGGCAGACCATTTGGGCCAAGGACAGACAACAGGATTTAGTTACTGTGTCTACACATGATCCCTGCTCAACATACATATACAATGCACAGTTGTATACGTGTCTTTATGTAGGGGAAATGCATACAAATGCATACAAATAAGCAGAAAATAGGGGTGTAGTGGATAAGATTCTGTCTACAATGCAGGCATCCCATTCGTGGGGCTGGGCCAGGCCAAAGCAGGGAGACAGAAACGTAGTTCACGTTTTAACCACAAGAACCATCTCCTACTACCTTCCAGGTGCATCAGGAGGAAGCTGGAGTGCAGTGGAGAAAAACAGAGCCAAGGTGGAAACCCAGACACTCTGATAGAGAATGCAAATATCCCACCAGCAGCTTGACTGGTAGGCCAAATGCCCATGTTAGTTTTTTTTTTTTTAAAGATTTATTTTTATTATTTTGTTTATTGGAAAGGCGGATATACAGAGAGGAGAGACAGAGAGGAAGATCTTCCATCCGATGATTCACTCCCCAAGTGAGCGCAACGGGCCGATACTATGCCGATCCGAAGCCAGGAGCCTCTTCCGGGTCTCCCACGCGGGTGCAGGTTCCCAAAGCCTTGGGCCGTCCTCAACTGCTTTCCCGGGCCACAGGCAGGGAGCTGGAAGGGAAGCGGGGCTGCCGGGATTAGAACCGGCGCCCATATGGGATCCCGGGCGTGCAAGGCGAGGACCTTTAACCACTTGCGCCACTGCGCCGGGCCCGCCCATGTTAGTTTTAAAGGTTTCATTTTCCTGGAATTCTCTGTGCCCTGTCACAGGCCTTTGCCTTGATAGTGCCACCAAATCATGTCTGAGCCAATCAAATGAAAGGGCGCTTACTTTTGCCAACTAAGATGAAACCCCTGGAAGTAACCTCTTTACATCCATTTCTTCGTTTCTGAGGTTTGGTTGTAGATTGGTACACACTACCCAAGCCTTAGCCAGAGAAGCTTGGCTTCCCATCACTTTAAAAAAGCTATTTGGATCTTCGTCAGCTCACAAGGGCAGATGCACTCAATCAATTTATCACACTCCACCAACAATGGAGTTGGCAAGTTCAGAGAGCTGGAACACCTCCATTTGTAAATAATCCAATTTCTGGTCGTCAGCAGCACTGGACTCCTCTTGGCAGACATTCTTGGCTCTGAGGAATCTTTAGGAAATGTAGTGAGCCAAGGCAGCTGCCAAAATTACAACTACTCAGAGAGATAGTTGCTCAATGTCTCACCCTCTTGTGAATTGTCTACTAGGCAAGAAAACACACATGGAATTTAGCATTTCAGGGAGTGGTTAGAGCACATTTAGATAGAAGAGACATCTGTTGCTGTTAAAGGTATTTCTAATTTTATTCTTAAAAATGGCATAGCATTCAATCAGAATATGAGCCATAAATCACCTGTTAATCTGGTAAAGCTATAACAAATGCTGAGTAGAATTCAGTGCCTCTAATGTTCATTTCAAATCCAGTAAAGTTCAACTGAAATGTATAGTGAATTCAATGAGTGGCAGATAAGACAAATAAATGTGAGAAGTGGAGCAACCAGAACAGGAAACTGCCGTTACGGGATGCCAGCACTGTAGGTAGAGGATTAGCATACTAGGCCACCATGCCCACCCCAGTATTTTCTTATTTTAATTGTGGTTTGTTATTTAAAATTACACCTGTTCTTTCCAAATATGTATGACTTTTCTAGCTTTTTTTAGATTGAAGACTTTTCAGTATTTGTTTGAGACAGAGACAGAAAAAGACTCGTATTTACTTCCTCGATGCCAACAGTGACTAGGGGAAGCTGAACTCAGTAGCTGGGAAGTCAATCTAGGTTTGCCACCAAGGTGACAAGGACCCAAGTACCAGAACCAGCGTCTGCTGCGTCCCAGCCATACGTTAGCAGGAAGCTGGAATGGGGAGATACAGCTGGCTCCATTCCAGGCACACTGATTTGGGGCGAATCTATTCCAACTGGGAGCTTAACCTGTAGGACACGCTTGTCCCAACTTTCTACTTAATTTTTTCTTTCTTTTCTAGTTTAATTGAACTTCCAGTAAAGAGCATATTCTGCAGGATTAAACATTTTTAAATTTGACACTTGTCTATGGCTCATTAGTTTTTTGAATGCTCCTTATATGTGTTCTGTGTTTGTCAGGTACTTTGCTCCTGTATTATGAGAGGTCATTTTTGTTAGTTTGTTTAAATTTTCTGTGACTTTAGACACTCATCATTCAAGCCAAATGTGTTAAAATTCCCTCCTATAAAGTCTGTATATTTCTCTCTGAAGTTCTGTCAGTCTTTGTTTAGTATATTTAGGCCATGTGTTTCAGATGAATATAACTTTATCACTATTATACATTCTTGACTAATTATACTTTCATCATTATGAAAAATCTTATCCTGTATTATGCTGTTTGTCTTTGACTTTCAGAAAGGTACAACAGCATTCTGTTAGTAAGAATCTGCATAGCATACCTCTGTACCCTCTTGTATTTTCTAGTTTTCTGTATACATAAGTATTATATATCTCTTTTGTAAATATTGTGAAGGATTTTTCAATTCAAAGAAATATTATTTGCTTTTAATTGAAGCATTCAGCCTCTATATTTTTCTGTAACTAAATATATTATTGCATTATGTTCTACTTTTCCTACCTAAGGTAAATTTATTTTGCCTCCTTCTTCTGAATTAATTTTTCTACATATTTCTGCTATTAGTTTAATAATTATATTTTTAAAATTATTCTTTCAGGATCCTCCTAGAGATGTAAAAACCCTTGATTACCAACATTTAATGTTAACATGCTTATATATGGAAAATTTTCAGCACCAACACTGTTACTTCCCTGTCAGTTTATATGTTGTTGGTAGCATGTACTTTATTTTCCTAGATCTTTGAATCCTGAAAGAATTACTAATTCACACAATGAATATTCAGTGATATTTTACACAATTATTTTATATGTGCATTTAACTCATGTATTTTCCATTTTTGTTATTATTTCCTGCATCTGTGAACATTCATCAGGTATTTTCCTTCTGCCTGTGTCTACCTTTTCTTACAATTGTTTTGAAGCCTGAGATATTTTTATTTAACCTCCAGTTCTGAATAATATTTTCCCAGAATATAGAACTATAGGCCATAATTATTTTCTTTCATCTTATTATTTCTGGCTTCCATCATATTTCTTGAACAATCAGCTGTAAATCTAACAGTTTTCCTTTGAAAGTAGCCTGTAGTTTTTCATTGGGTGTCTTGAGGGCTTCAGTTTCCAAGCATTTTTCTGTGGTGCCTGTGGGTATAGAGTTCTTTTGATGTCTTCTACTTAATTATTACTGGATTTTTGTGAACTGATACATTTCACAAACCCGGGAAATTCATTTATGTTGACTTTTCAAAACAAAAATTTAACATTTTATTTATTTAAGGGGAAAGAGAGAGGTCTCCTGTCTTCTGCTGGCTTATTCCCCAAGTGTCCACAACAACCAGGGTGCAGCCAGGCCAAACCCAGGAGGTACATCCAGTTCTCTCACATGATTGGCAGGGGCCAAGCACTTAGGCCATCTTCTGTTGCTTTGTCCAGACCATTAGCAGGGAGCTAGAATGGGACTAGAACAGTCAGGACACAAAACCGTATTTGTATGGATTGGCTATCCAGGAGGTTCCTCTACTCATTATGCCACAACACTAGCCCCTGTACCTGATAATTCCTTTATTTGAAATTCCCATGGTTTTATAATTATCCACTT